TGTTAGTAAAAATTGGAGAGGGGTAAAGGAGGAGATCACTTCAAAATGGTTAGAATAATATGTAAAGGCGAATAGTATAAACATCCAAATAGGGTCACGATGACTCTACTCATTACTTGATATTCATTTAATTGTGTTAAGCATGAAGAGATTACTTTAAGAGTCCAGGTTTAATAATGCGAACATTTTTATAATGGTTACTAGAACCTTTTCAAATTTCAGAGTCAAAGGGGAAAAGTGACTGCAGTATATAATAATGCTACATGATCATGTTATGTTGGTTAATTTTTGATTGAAAAAAAAAATCAATATACATGTATTAATTCAAAAAAATACAAGAATACGGAATCAAGAAGATGATATCAGCTTATCAAAAAGTGCTGTCAGTTATGTCATCTGTTACGTTATTCACAAAATGTCTACTACTAAGATATAATGGCGTGGTTTTCAATGTTTGGATAAGTGAAACTCAAGTCACTATTTATTTTAGTAGTGGCACAGGATCATAATATACGCACTAACCTCGTTATGGAATTTGAAAATTTACCGTTTAAAAAAAATAAAAAAATATCATAGAATAAAGTGTTTTATGTGTTTTAAAGGACGAAACTGCTGAATGATGCAGTGTATTTCATGTACGGCCTACTGTATATAATGTGCAATTACCTGTGTGTGTGTTATGTTAATCATTCAAGAGACAAGGTGGTAGACTCTGCTGTTGGATTTCCTAGTCTCCGAGGTTTACCGTTATCTTGATGGTCAAAGTGATCACTTTTAAATGGTGACGCTGTTCATAAAATACACACTGCTCGTTCTATAAGTTGCAATTAACCATTACTTGTCTAAATTTTAAAATCCACATCAAAGGATGTTATGCATCTCCCCTTTTGTTTCAATGGTAGTGTAAACTTATTTTGATTTCCAGCTTTTTGGCTCCTAGCATCACCGATGAGTCCTAGAAGGACGAAACACTTGAATAATGCAGTGTAAATATTTTTTCGGCAAACGGTATCTGTTGCCAATTTGTTTAATGAGATATTCACCTTTGTGTGGTTGTTATGTTTATCTTATTTTGATCGATGAGAAAATGTTTTTCTTATTAGAACGTTAGATATTTTGTTTTGCTGTTTTTTCGACTTGAAATCATATTGCAATACATTACTTTTTACTAGCTAAAGAATCTTACTCGACTGTTTATTTACTGCAAATGGGTCATAAAGAAAGGCCGAAAGGTGATAAACTACCAGTCTAAGAGACAGAAACTATCAAAGTAACTTCACCAGGGCAACAAATGAAAGCTATTTAGTATGTAATATCGATTCATATACAATTTTTATAAGCCACCCGCCTTAATAGTGTTGTTGTTCAGGTAATGTTTCTAATTCGTCCCGGTTCGGTTACTAGTGCGATCTGCACCAAACGAATTATCAGTCAAGCGTAATTATACATAGGTAGACAACAGAGTTTGAGATGACGTCACGAAATGGCAAAACAACCCAGGCATACTTTGCATAGCAACTAACATTTGTTGTGAGATATGATCGATTGTTATGTGATTTTATGTCCGTTTTTCGTTTTTCGCATACTTTTCAATTTTTTAGGTATTTCTAATCAGAAGTTATTTTGTTTTTGTGTTTTGTCCCAAAATTGTACCACTGTGTTGAATTACCCGTCTTTCGAAACATTAGATCTGTATAAGATTTTAATAGAAATATAAAATAAATCTATATTTAATTTGTTAAAGGATTAATTGTCCTTAAATATAGTTAATTGTACTAGAGGCATGTAGTATTAAACGTTTTTATTATTACATTTGTTTTTCATTAACCAATGGTGGTTAATAAGTGTCATTTTTATTAACAGCAGGGTTGGAAGTCATTGTTAGCATAATAATTAAAAGGATTTATTTAAACTAAAACTATGGGCCACATCTACGTGACAATGACTTCCCAGCTCCCGCCTAAAATTAATAAGGTATTATTGAGCGTGTCTGTCTTGAACGTTCGTTGAAAATAAAACATATCAGCTTAATAAAAATATGGGGAAAACCATGACTGCATTATTAGTTGTTAACAAACATGTAACAGTGTAGTATCCTTTCTATTGTATTAGTCAATGATCATTATCAACATCATCTTTTGTATAAGGTAGACACGGGTCATCACGAAGATCATCTGTTGTGTTGCATCGGGACCACCATAAAGAGAATATGGTTCTTTGTTAACAGTATTGGTTCAACAGGACCAGGATCATTATTGACAGTATCGGTTAAATAAAACAGGATCATTGTACACATATTGGTAGCATTAAACAGATATTAATAACAACAGCAACTGTTTGATGTATCAGCTGTATCTGTTGTATAAAGCCTAAAGTCGGTGAATGCTATCCCAGATATTGAAAAAACTGCCGAGACGAGGTTGTCACTGCCCGTCTTCGGATGGGTCATTCATACGTTACCCATTCTTATTTATTGAAAAGTGAAGGTCAGCCTCAGTGCATAGCATGTCACGGAACATTTACAGAAACACTTGTTATTATAATGCATTGACCTTCAGACAACAATATATATTTGTTTATAATACTATACATGTAACAGTTGATCTGTTCAAAAAGATATTATTTACCGAAGCCACTTTTACTTTTAAAGTTAACGTTTGTCTTTTACCTTTTCGTTCGTTTGATGTAATTTCCTTTAACATTTGTTATATACCTTTTATTCACTATTATGACATCTTTTGTGTTGATGGTCCGTCAAGCACACATATGGATTCACGTTTTTAAATGACATTAACCTTTGATATGACGTTTAACCATGTACAACTAACTATTTATATCGAGATAGCCATAAACATTAGGTCTGAAATATTACTTAAAGTAAAATCAAATACGTTTTATGAAATGATTGGTTTAACTGGTAAGCATTCATAATGAAATCGTTCTATGGTGCTTTTCCCTTTAGATGAGGAAGACAAGTATGTGTGCCGTAGTGTATACCAAAAGGTGTGTGAAAATTGTGGGGAGGCGCCGCAGAGGACAGTCATGAGAGAACTTGGTCGCCGCTGTATCGACCTTTCCCATCGAAACCTTGGAACCGCTGGCATGCAACCCATCTGTGCAGCATTATTGGTACGAATAACAGTTCATTAAATAGTTAAAATAATGGAAATTTAATATACTTGATTGAAGTAATAATAAAACTGACATTGCGATGGTTAATAATTGGGGTATCTGTCACAGTGTAAAGATCCCACCTTTTTATTGACCAATCGGATGGATACTTTCTATTTACTGCGCTCAAACCTGTGGAAAGTCATTAAATATCCTGTACGTTCTTCGTATTTATTATTGCTTGATTTTCATTTGTGGCACAGATTCGATCAATGATAACATATCTTCTATTATTCTTCTATAAGTGTTTCAGCTGTGAATAGAACATTTAGACAATGTGAAAGTAATGAATAAATTATGACATATCTTTGTTGATGATGATTTTGCGAATAGATAGTAACAATCTCTTGCTTATGTCGACGCTCCTTGTATTTAAAGTGATAACGACCGCGACGTAGTAGTGTTTTAATTGTCAATATTACTAGTAATTATCAATGTGAAAAAATGATGTCTTTGTCAATGTGAAAAGATGATGGCAAGGCCAAAAATGTAGGACAGATTTGCCACAACATTGGAAATATTAAGGTTGCCGACATATTTGAAAAAAGAAATTAACGAATCATTGGACAGAAATGGATGGGTTAGCACAAGAGACTATATTCACTGATTTTAATTTATATAATCCTTTCAAAATTTTAATGTTGTTAATGTACATTTATCTACAAAATGTATGTCTAGTTATGTTATTTCGTATTTAACTAAAAAATAAATATCCTTATTTCTTCCTCGTTCGTCTTCGTGAAAACCTTTTATACAACTAGATTCTTATGCAGCGCTTCCTCTGATATCTATATGATTTACCTTTTTTTTGGCAAACACTTAAGTTAACGGCGAAACGTGATTTTGTTTCCTATTGATAGGACGTCAACAGTCAATTTAATGAAGAGTTGAAAACCAATATCCTATTTATAGAGCCAATGATATTTAAAAAGATATTGAAGAAAAATGTACAATTCTTTAACAGGATATAAACAAATATTAAAGTATGTGTCAATCAAAGTCCAGAATAATGGCTGGACAATGTTATTTTATATGGAATCCAGTGATATAACATAAAAGGTTTGTTGAACGTCATTGTACAAACAGTACATACTTACTTCCAGGAAAACTTGCGGGTGGAGACTTTATTGCTAGAGGGGATGGACATGAAAGACGAGGGTTGTATGTATCTCTCTAATCTCTTACTCGACAACCTCGTTATCACACGCCTGGTGAGTTATCTCCCTTTTTAAGCTATGTTTTTCTTTGAAATATTACACATTTGTCAACCCCGAATAGTGTGTAGTCCAGAAATCTCAATTAGTTAGAATTGTGATTAGATTACATTGTTAGCATTTATATGTCAATAAAACAAATGTAAAAAAAGAAAAACTGTTTCCTAAATTAAAGAAATAACCATTGTTTTACCAATGTCTTCCTGTCAGGTTTCACTGTGTTGGTGAGTGGAAACATGAACTAATTTTATGTATTCACAACAATTATAACCGTATGATATAAAGTTACATTATATATATATATATAAAACCTAGTCTCAACAGGTCACAGTACAATTTTGTGCTAGTTTGTCCAACGGTATTGCGAAAGTTGTGATGCCAGCTTACCATTGTAATGGAATGACATGTTGTTGTGATGTCACAACGTTGTCCTTTTGAAATAAACCAGAAAAGCCACGGTTGCTGCTAATTTTGAAGTTAAGGTTTTCGTCGTCGCATGGCCGTAGGTATCGTGAAAATGTAAAATCCGAAACAACGAGCAGACCTTCCCTTTGTGAAACATTTGATTTCTACTATTTTGATTTTTACTATTCTATTTTCATTTCTATTTCCATTCTTATATATCAGAACGATTAGTTGCAGGACAAGAGCTGCTTATTCATTTGTTTGTCAATTTCAGAATTTGACAACTAATAACCTTGGATATGACGCCGCCCGATATCTTTCCGTCGCGTTGGGCAAGTCAAAAACACTGCTTCATCTAAACCTATCAGGTATAGTATTAGTAGTTAGAGAGAGTACAGTATCAGTATTCGGAGAGTATAGTATGAGTATTCGAAGAGTATGGTATTAGTGTTTAAAAATTATAATATTAATGTTTCGAAATTACAATATTAATGTTTAAAGGGTATATTATAAGTGTTTAGAGAGTACAATATTAGTGTTTGGAAAGTAAAGTATTAGTAGTTAGAGAGTATATTATTAGTATTCCGAGAGTGTAATTTTAGTATTAGGAGTCTATAGTATTAGTGCTTAGCGTGTATAATATTAGTGTTTAGTGAGTATAGTATTAGTGTATAGAGAGTACAGTATGAGTATTCGGAGTGAATGGTATTAGCGTTTAGAAATAACAAGATTAGTTTTTAGAGGGTACATTATTAGTTTATAGAGAGAAATGTAGTATAAGTGTTTAGAGAGTTATCGGATGAGGCGTGATACATGCATGATACATTTTACTTTAAATCACTTAATGTTTAAGTGCACACATTAAAAAAAAAAACGCTAAACAAGGTCCTGAACATTGTGTTTGATGCAATTCTTTGTCATTTGAACTTCGCCGTAAATTTAACGTAATGGATTCCTTGCTAGCGATGTTTTTGCATTTTCTTCATTTCAAACCCTTTAGCGTGCTACAGTGCTGCATTTCACGATTGACAGCGCCAATTTGAAACAAACACATGACAAAATAATGATGTACTTACATTGAAAAAAATGTTCGATAAAGTTTCTCTGTCATTCATTTATAATTAATTTATAAATGATATTTACCATAATACATAGTAGCAACCGATTTATTTGGCCTTTGAACCATTCACTTTACGTTTGATGTGCTCTTTTTTGTGAACAGCTGTTTTGCAGCATTGTTTGGCCCTAAATGACTTAATTTGTTGGTGGGTCGTAAAACAATGCAAAACAAAACAATAATTAATCAATGTAACATCAGAATAAACTGTTATTAATCTAAGCAATGATAAAGCAATTATGATTCCAAGGTAAAATTTATTCCACTTTGAATACATTTTACAGTTAATATCTGACGAGTTTTTATTCATTACATTTTTAGACTGTAGAATGAATAAAGAATCAAAGGGAAGTTCAAATTAGAATACATTCTACTTTACCGTTTTGTCTTTTCAAAATATTCGCTGTCTACTGTTTATCAACAGATAACAAACTTGATGACGATGCGATGGTTTCCCTTTCCAGGGGACTTGCTGTAAGTATTTCACAAAACTCAGGTTCAAAAACTCAAACTGAATATTGGGAATATTGCAATAAATCATTTCTGATTGTACGATGCCATCTTTATAAAATATTAACAAATCACAGGTAATAGTCAAGCAAATGATGACCGATTAATTATTCATATCAATTCCAGTTAGTTTATTATTTATTGCAATCTACAAATTTGATTTAAGAAATCACGAAAATGAATCTTTAATGATAATATTTCACAATAGGAAAAGGATTCAGCGATTGGAGTGCAACTTAATTATAAGAGGCACCGGAAAAATATACGATGTCATCATGAAACCAATAACAATATACACAGTTCTTAAAAAGAGTATACTTACTGGGAAAAATATACAAAATCTAACAGAAGTCAGTGATATCATAATATAAAGTGTTTTGCATTCTGTACTTCATTGGCATGCAACAATACTACTACTGCTATGAGGTATTAAAATATTTTAACACGTTGTCACACTCCTATCCGAAACATTATTGTATGAAAAAATGCCTATGATTACTACTGACAAAATATGATTGCCAAACTATTAAATGCTTTCTAAGTACGTGTTTCAAACATATCGTGTGCTCATTACCCACAGTAAAACTGAGAAGGAAGGTATTGATTATTTAAGGAGAAACTCCATCAATGAAGTAACACAAATCAAATACAATATAAAATGTGTTTCCTCTCTCCATTATTTGAATCACAAATCAACAAACGGAATGGTTAGATAAAATGTACATAATGTACTCCTAAGTATTCCTACCAGTTCTTGCATTCAATATTTTATTTTATTTGATTATATATATATTCGAATAACGTTTTCCAAAGAGAAGATATGTGGCCGAGATTACGTGTTGATGTTGGTATTGCACTCAGTGCTACAAATGTGTAAGTCCAACTCCACAGATAACAATCTGATGTATAAAGTTAATGCGTCGTAGTAATGTGTTTAGCCGTTACAATCACGTCATAACTTTTTCGATGGAAGTGTGTTATTGTTTTATTCAGATACGTGTTAATAACGGGCTAATGGGATTTGCTTATTGTATATATAAAAAGAGTAAAGCATTATTGTTAAATATCATTATCTGCTACTTATTTTTACCCAAATCAAAATAATTGCCATTCGAGTTAAATTATTGTTTACAGAATGGTTTAAATAAACCAATAAGTATTTAGAAACTCTTTCAATCATTTAATTGTTAAAATTGTACTAACATAGCTTCCTAATTTTGTTATTTGTAGAGAAACGAGTCACTACTTACTCTGAACATCAGTAAGAACTTTGTCGGAGAGGAAGGAGCGAAGGCGCTCGGCGCGGCGATTGGTGAGTTTGTAGGCTTATCTTTATTGGTTTAATTGCCTGTTATTTTATCAATTAAATTTTCATGTCTTCCAAAGTCCTGTACACAATGTAACTACCGAGGCATACCTGGCAAATCAATAGTTCAGAGTGAGGCCAGTAACACATTAGCCAGGGTTTCATCCAACAGGATGCATTTTCAATAACACGTTAACAGGACATAAGGGTCTTTGGCATATCAATAATACGTCACTCATCATTGACTCCTGATACGTGAAATATATATCATATTGGTCACGTAGCCTGACTATCTATCCTACAGATGGGAAAGTTTATTGCTTTGGTATGCCGCTGTCGTGTTTCAGTCGTACTTGTCATGGAAAACCGAGTGCCATGTTAACAGTCCCGTGAGCACGAAAGTCATGAATATTTTACTGATGATACTTGACGTTCTACGCTTATAATTATAACCTGACAGAGCTGATCGTTCGGAATATTGAATTTACTTTGAGTTTTTTTCCATGTTTTCAAGTATTTATGTATATGTAACAAACAAAAATATTTAGAGAAATTCGCTTCGAACTTGTGAAAGTATTCTCATTAAATAAAAACATATTGTATGTATATCATTATATTTGCACGAATAATCGATATACTTTGTTCACTGCTGTATATCACCTGATATATTTTGTCTGCTCAATTTCATGATTATCTTTTAAACGACATATTTCACGAGGATCTGATTTCATGAGAGGAGAGAAAGAAGAAAAGCTTTATACATGAAATTGTTTCTCCTTGCAAACGTGTGAAAATTACTTGTTTATCTACCGAAAAATGTAAGATTAATAGTATCACCATATGGATCAAATTATTTATTTATTATCACATAGAGTCGATATCGTACTCGCCTAACTGTCAGCCAAGATTGATGTTTTGAATGTATTGTCTTTCATTTCAGCTGAAAATAGTCGCCTTGATGAACTTAACGCTAGCTGGAATTATATACGAGGAAATGGTGCTGTCGGGATATGTAAATCGTTCAAGGTGATTGCACTTAACGCTATCCTAGGTTCGTGGTATGTTATAAACCAATACAGTCAGCATACAGTTATAAATCTTACCCGAGGTTCAGAATGTCATTAGAGATGGGTTAATTGGTGGTCGGGAGGCGTAGTGGATGATAGCGCACTTGCCTTACACCTAGGCAATCAAATTTCGATAGCCCAGCCGGACGTGAAAAGGTATGGGGTCACCTGCACGACCAAGTGGGGTTTTTCCAGGTACTCCAGTTTCCTCCCATATTAAGATCCCCCGCGCGCTAGCATCGGGTCGGGGGCGGGGGAAGGCACTACAGAATTACCCGTACCCTGAAGTTTGTTGATCGGTTAGAGTTCCTTGATCAGTTAATAAATAATACTTGTGCAATCTTGTTGTATCATCGTAAAATGATACTACTAGACTCGTCAAGGAATCGTCATTTTAACCTCAGCCCTCGATTCGTTTTACACGTTAAGAGGCCAAACTTAATCGGCTGCTCCATTTTTACACTTTGATCCGATATTTTTTTTCATTTTTTTTTCTGGAAAACATTTTAAGTTTCCCTACTTTTAATTCATTGGTTAAACCTGCTTGGAATTTGGTAAACATTTTTGGTACCAGTAGGTTACACCCTGGACATGATTTCAATTATGACGTCACGTTACAACGCTTTTGCGCCTGCATTTTCTATGGTGGCGTTTTTATTCATGGTAATAAAATTAACCACCATAGTCCATGTGGAACTCAAGTCATTCCTTTTCTATATAAACGTCAACAATACATCATGTCACCTCTTATACGATGTATAAACGCTTTCATATTGGTAGTGTTTTGACATAATATACATGTCATATAATATGCAATCAAAAAATATAATCCTACAACTTTGCACAGGAAAACACAACACTACACATTCTACATCTGGCCTGGAATGGGCTTGGGTACGAAGGCACTGTGGCCGTATCGGACACTCTAAGGACAAACGATTCTCTCCGCGAACTAGACATCTCCAACAACCGACTGAACTGGACTTGTGCTGAGATCCTCGCTAAGGGACTAAGGGGTAACTCAGACCTGGAGATACTCAAGGTAAATTCACGGCATCGTTCATTTGATAAAGATATTTTAAAATTTGCGCCAGTAACAACTGTATGATCGAATGGCATGTGAAACCTAAGAAAACCAAAGAACGCAAATGAAGTGCTACCGGTCAAAATATTATTGATTTTGAATTTGTCATAATCCTACCTTTAATACTGTAGATAACATTTCTCACTTAATTTGCTAATTTCCGTTTCCGTTCACGTTTTACTTTTCGTGTGAAAATGATTGTATATGTAACATTGAAAAATACGTAAACTGCAGAACCCAGATTACCTACATGACCTCATGGTTTTGGTGATATCGTTTGCATATGTAGCGTAATATTGACACATCGTGTTTTTCAGATGGGTTATAACCCAATCACCACGACCGGAGCGATGTCAATATTACAGGCATTAGCGAACACAAAGTCTAGTTTGCGTGTCCTAGACATGATGGTTAGTAAACGGCGTCTACGATTTTCGGAAAGATAAAGGTTTTTGCAATTATTCTTAGAATTATCTGCCGTTTTACCTGTTGAGGATTCTTCTGTCACCCCCTAGGGTATGATTTCTGTCTTTAGATTTTGACAGATAGCACCTGAAAAGAAACAATGTATATGTAAATATATACTATGCAGTCACAGATACAATCAGATATGACGTCACAATTGCCCCTCTCGAGGAGAGGTCATATGCAAAACAGAATAGAAAACAGAATACAAAATCATTGCTTTCAAACATAGTGTTGGAAGGATGTAAGAAAATTAATAATTCCCTACTTTGAAGATGTAACAGAAAAATCTCCATTTCAAGAGGTTAAACAACCTTATGATCACCCTTCGGGTTAGAGATTTCTCTGTTACACCCTCGGGTATTTAGGTATGTTGCTTATCTTGGCCTGGTTTTTCAAAGTGTAATTGTGTTAATTCAAATCTTTATTCAGTTTCCTTCTAAAAAAAATAATAACTAAACCTGCATTTATAGGGATTCAAAATGGTTTTTTTCAAAGATAAAAAAATGCAAATATATTTGTATGTTTACAAACGATTTTGGCAAGTAGCATTTTAAAAACTTTGTTAAGCTACAATCAGGATTTGGACAACACGACCCAGAATAGTTATTAAATGGTTAATATGTTCTTTGATAAGTAACAAAGGTTTTATTACTTCGTTATCAGAATGTGAGTATCCTTCCGGAGTCCGAACTATTGGCACTGACAATTGAGCAGAAACGGAAATTCAAGCTGATTCATGGAGGAGTAGTTCGGTCACACGACACCCTTGGGGAGAAAAAAGGTAGAAATAATTTAGGTCAAAATTTTGCAGTGATTATATTTGGGTTATTGTCGATAACTAAACTCAAGATTGTTCATGAAAGATGTTTGTTCTGACGATGAAACTAGTTTTCTTCCACAACCACTATGTTTTCTCACTACCGACCCATACGATAAACCTGCTAGGAGTTGGTTAACATTTTTGGTTACCCACTAGTGGGTAACACCCTGGGCGTGATTTCATTGGTCAAGTTTTTACTTATGACGTCACGTAACAATTGCTTTGCGACGTCATCTTCCATTGTGGCGTCATGCTTCACGGTAATCGTTTCCTTCCATCGGACGCCGACAGAGTGTATATTCAAAGGAAAATGACTTTCCATATAAAATATGAACGTTATGGGAGAAAAAGGACCCAAAACTCGCGATGGTAGGTTAACATGTTTATCTGATTCTCGTTAGTTAATTTTCAAATCGTAAAAGTCGCTCGGTAAACCTCGTGTCTTTATACAATTTGAAAATGAACTAATTCGAGTTAGATAAACATGATAACCAACCATCACTCGTTGGGGAACCTCTATTTAGAGTATAATCTATTTGCTGGAGTTGGTATATCATATACACTCGAATTGAAAAACTCTCATTCAGTATGATTTGTTCTGTTTATAGACAAAATAATCTATTTTGATTTTAAAGAATTAATTTTATGGACCTTTTCGTAAATTTATCTGCTTCTGTATCGTGTCTAAACTACTGCTTAGCTAAGTAATAAAATACACAGCATCATATAGCGATTCCATCCTCATACATGTACATATTGTAAGACTCATTGGTGATGCAAGAGACCTCAAATTGGAAATAAAAATAAGTCTAAACTACTGTTGAAGAAATGGTGCATAAAAAACCTTAATTTATGAATGAAAATATATCTAATTCACAAAAGTATTTTTTCAATTGTCTGCAACTAAGCAAGCAGACAGATCATGACAAGTTGAAGTGTTAAATAGCTCTGTAGAGACCGTGAATCATGTTGTTGTAATCACACTATAAACATGTAAATACGTATGACTATAGAGTGTTTTCTGTGGATGAAAGGAAGTTTAATTAGATTCGATCGACGAGTTGAAGTAAAAATGGTGATAACGTCGATAGAAGGTGTAGAGTATTTCTGACTGACCATGCATCTTTTATGGTTTTACCTGAAAAGAGTCTATGTGGTAGCTTACCTTCGAACATTAGTGCGCGATGTGTTCGCACCTTACTCCAACGTTAACCCTATCGATCATGTAACGCTCGTGCGGTCTATCGATTTAAAATCCCGCAGAGACGCAATCAATTACTGTAGCTGTGTATAGACTGTAATTAAGTTTTATTTACTTCTTATCTCCGCATACCAATCATGTTTTATAAAGATATACACTGTACAATGATTAAAAAATGCTCATGCATGTAGTGTGATGCACTCGTAATATAGAAAGTCAGAAAAGTAATATTTCTGCAATATAAATAATATCGGTTACTCTCGTAAAATATATGCTGCATTTTCCAATTATTGGCTAAATATAACCGGATGATTTATCTTTCTTGTGTCTTTTAAAAGAACTAGATATTTCATTGGAATTTCTGTTCCTGGTGCAAATATGTGTTTCTGTACGGTGGCTTATTGAGGATACTCACATAATTACATGTACTGTTATCTCGTTCTGACGAGATAGCACCTTGTTATAACGACTTATTATTTCGTTATTTCATGATAATTTTCTCGTTAAAACGAGTACGTTGGTAACGATATAACGAATTAGTAATAATATTGTTAGTCGTAAAAACGAGATACTGAGACTTTATAACGAGATGAAAATAATTATTTGGATGTCCTTATTAAGCCACCATAGCAAACACTTATATGACTTGGATGAAAAAGAAATCTTCGAAGCTGTTGCATCTTTAATTGTTTAATTTTGGTGACAGGCAACGACTGCTTTTATACACAACTTTTAATTCACACAATTCGGCTTTCCAATACGCATCCAAACAGGGAGTGATCAGTTTGTAGACGAAATATTAATGAATACGACATTACAAGTATTGTAACCTGAGAATTCAAACCCGGGACCCTCCGAACTCAAACCAAATGAGCTACCTGGTTGTTGGTGATCGACCCAGTCAAGTTCCGTTACATTTCTACCTCTTTCTTGAAAGTCCTCGACCCCGAAGACACACAAGATTCTATACCACTATCCGTTGGTAGATTTCGTTGGGCGCCAAGTGATACAGGAGAAAGACCTGGTTGTCGAGATTGGCCAAGCCGATACCCGCTTCACTTTTATAAACCTTGCAAAAAGGAATATCTATATGTATATAAGAACGATTGATTAATTCATGGTGAAAACTTCAATGTCCACAATTATTTTCCTTGTAGAAAAACCAATAGATGCCATGCAAAGGATATTGGACTACATGAAAACTTTAGGCCTGCGTCCAGTGGAGATGATACGGGAGTTTGATAAGACTGCCAACTACCAAGTGAGCCAGAAGGATTTCATCGCAAGACTTAAGGTAAACGGTTTAAACGATTCTAATCAAAAACGATTTTAATGTACAGCATATTCTTTAAAAACCCTTGCAAGGACGGCTCATTGCATATTAAAATATTTTGCTAGTTTACATTCATACAGATTTATTTGTTGTTCTCTTTCCGGTTACGAAAACTAGTGATAAGGACGTTTGAAATTTTACCACGAAAATATTCTGTACAAATAAGAAGCTTCAGACAATTACGGAGTTATAATATACAGGTATATTACTCAGGGATAGCTGGCCTAGTGTACAACGGCATTGCAGAGTTATCTTCTCTTGTGAGCATGTATTGATTATCACGTCCTTGGTTTGTGTGAGAAAATTACGTCGTTTTCTCAAAAAATGATGACGTTACTCTCACAAACAAATGACGTAACAATCAGTACCTGCTCACAAAAGCAGATTACTCTGCATTACGCAAAGACGGAATATTTTTGTATGCATTTTTAAGTTCTAAATGGTGACAGTTACTGTCATATGTATTATAATAGAATAATAGACCATAGAAAGCAACTGAGTTCATTCAGTGTTTCCGACACATGTTGGTTGCTATGTCAACACTCAAAATCGATGTATTATGCAATATAATTGTATCGCTAGTTTTGTTAACAAAGAATCATATGTGACATTAATACACTTGCTATTGTAGTTTATTGGAACTAAAAAATAATTATTGATAGCATTACCTGCGAGTTTATATAAATAACAAGTTATTCACGGTCGTACCGATGTTTATGCCTCCAAAACTCTATAGAAGTCATTCAAACTAATTTAATTTAAATGCATGGTCGATATCGAGTTCGTTCCGCTATGATAATAGGTACTTGTTTGTTGTTGGAATCACCTAGTGCATGCACCTGTACATTATGCATGTTGGTTCTAGCAATGTAGTTATTACATATCCGCTAGTTAATGAGGGGGATTCATGGTATCATTCCTGTAGTAATTAATATTAACGGTGTATAATGAAGGAAGGAAAATGCAGCCATTGTGTCAAGTTAATGACTGATGTATAAAAAATATTTCAATACAATGTTTCCTCCCTTTTCCCGTATTGATATTATATATAAACAACCAAAAACATTAATATTGGATTGTTAGGTAAATATTTACAGGTGAATTAATTGATATATGATCATGTAATTGTGCATTTTAAAAGGATGCTGACAAGGTTGAAACGACAGAATTATAACCTCCGAACAATATCGTATCCTACCTTCCGTACGGAATTCTTTCGATGAATAATTATAAAAGATATACAGATATATTCCACCTATTTTCACTGAAAATATGGAACAGTGAATATCATACAATGAATTTGTTATACGGAATCTGAGAGTACGTGTAAATGTTAATGTTTGTAACGTGCGGTTTCTAATACAACTTGAGGCTTGCATAATGTGAATAGTTTGGTAGTTGTAGTAAAACCACTGCCAAAAACTCAAACTACGCATTGGAAACATGTTTGCTAGCATTCGTATAGCTGTGATGAATCATTTCTAAAATAAGCCATATCTGTCGGGACTTTTATGAAACTAAGAAGATGGAACAAATAAAATATAATCAATAATAATGTTCTGAGTGTAAGACAATCAAGGTTGCTAGAAACGGGATTCAAATCCTGAAATTCAGATTGTTTATCTTCTCAGCGGAAGTGTTCAGATCCAACTGTGCTATAGTTCTATCAGAAAAGATATAACGGGGAGGATAAACAGATAAACAATATTTAAAAAAAAACAAAAAACAACAACAATGTATTAGGACAGGGGTCCTTAATCAAATTAATTTGTTAAAAAATCTGATATATCACCATTATTTCCTTTAACGTTAAACTTGTGATAATGTAAAACTGATCATGTTTCTATAATGATTTATTGCGTTTTAGTGTTCGGCTTCATTGACTCGTTTTCCGTTAATTAAAATGTTCTAATTATCAATAAATTATCCTTAAAATAGCTGTCCACATTTTTTACAGTCGAAAGGCATTCCTCTTCACAAATTTGAAATGGAAGATTTGGCAAGACAAATAGCTGGCAAAGGTGGAAAGGGACTCGACTACAGGTACTTCACGATTTAGACTTACGATAAAATCTTCTTATTGTTACTCTTAATTGTTGGTATTATTTGGTCGTTTATTTAAAAATATTTCTCAACCAGTGTGCAAAAATGTTGCAGCCGCTATAAGTATAAAAGAAATGAAAATACCAATTGATATTTATGAAATTGTATCTCCTTTTCTGAACGCAGATAAGCATAACTCGTTTTTTGCCTAGGTTATTCTTGTAACGGAAGATATGGTTTTCTTTCACTACAATGACTAAGATTAAGCCAATTTCTATAACTTGTGAAACTTATCCTCTAATTGATTTTTATAACGTAGTGTTTGGTTTGTCTTTTAAGGTTTCATGCATTAAATATAACCAAACATCAGGCGTTACTTACAACATATACACAATGCATATTATCAGTGCAAAGTACAAATCTAACGTATTACGCCAATTTTGTAAAAGTTCCTATTGCTGCACTTTTTGAACATGTTCTCACTATTTTCAAATTGTGGTATTATCACTTTATTTGGTTATATTCTACGCAATCTCAAAATTGTAACGGTGTATTCAAATTGGAATTAAATCATAATTCATTATTTTTAATTCAATGTACTGATACCGAATTATTCACAGCACCCTCATACATCTTACATCTTCTCAAGAACCCTTTTAATTACTGTTTGAGGGAAACTCTAAAAATACACAAGGGACATAAGGGACTTAAGGGACATAACTCCTTTCTGTTTCTGTAACATGTCTCCGTGCGTATTTCAAGAAAATCCTTATTGACCATTTCATTTGTTTGTACTGATATGTAGATGTAGATTAGGTTGGGAACCTGACAAATCAAGCTCACCTCAACATACTACATATTTAGATTGTAACCCTTTGTTTCAGAAAACTGGTGGACTCCGTGAAGAGCCATGTAGTTAAGGAGAGAAACGACAAAATTAAGACAAGAAACAAGAAACAGAAGAGAGAAGCGTACCACAAGAGACTTCTTGCCCTCCGCCTTCCCTCCGAGGTATTGTCGGAGCCAGAAGAAGACCAAATTGGATCGCTGGTGGAACTTCGATCCTCCTCCGCAGCACTCACACAGAGTTACAGCAGCCTACATTCGATGTTGTCTTCACAACGGAGTATGGCCAAATTGCCTTCACTCGTATCACAATCCAAAGAAAGCGACTTTCCTTTGAAGACTTCACGTGGTAGCTCTGCTGTCTCTATGGCTGGGCCTCTCAGTGGCGGCACCTATCGGACGCCCAGAAAGAAGATGCATAAGAAGAACCGAGGGATGGTTGTTTCCCAGGTGTCACTCGGACAAATCAAGGCATGATAGTACATAGCATATATAGGGAACACATTGATGAGCATCATACGTTATTGTTTTACAACAGGATTAACATAATCAGATATTACGAAAAAGTTCCCTACCAAGTCGAGAAGCTCACACTGTCCTTAACAAAAAAACAACAACCCATTTTTGGTTAACTCTCGAAGGCCTCTGATGAGCAATGTTATAGATTCTTAGAAATGGTCCTAAGCTAAGTCTTTTACTAAGGAATGGTTTTGTACCACAAACGTTTGTTAAAAATAGATTCTTCATTTCAAACGCTGCCAGGTAAACAATTTGCTTAGTCGTTTTTTTTTGTAATGACAACCTGCCCGTTGTGAGTAGATTTTGTATATTGAGATTATTTTCCCTCGTTCAGTTTGACGAATGTAGCACTAGCAGTAGAAACGTAGCATCCATATTTAAAACTGTTATACTGCTAAATGATACAGATGAGGTCGACACATCACATACATTCATTTAAACTGATGAATCTTTGTAAGGCTTAAATCAATGTTATGTGGAAAAAGGAATATATAATGATGAAATATTTTGTTTACCTACATGACCTGGATAAAAAGCGACGCCTTATCATTTTTAAACTTCGAGATAAGCTTTCTTCAAAACAATATATATACTGGTTGTCTAATGCAGAGAAAGATTTAAACCTTAGCTTGGATCTTTGTTGGGTTGTTTTTAACGGGGAAGATAACTCCAATCGAGTTATAAAAAAATGACGTAGTACAGACTAACACCAAGTGTTCACTGAAATAAAGATAACCCCTATTGAATCCCACAGAGGGTCTTTAAGTGGAAGTTTAAGTTTAAGTTTAAGTAAAAGGCGCGAGTGCGCCATCACTGCGCCATTCAATCACGCCAGGCCATAGAACATGACAGGTTATTGACCTTTGATCCAGGGATTATATCATTGAGTAGAAAAATAAAAACATGAGGACGACATCACACCTTCCTATGTCCATGTCTATCAGTGGTACAAACACGTGGTCGACAGCAAACCTACCTATTTGTATTGTCTACTAGTTGACAAAATATGAGTTCGACATCATACCTACCTATCCACATACCTACTTATTTTCATGTCTATCAGTGATAAAAGCATGAGGTCGACAGCATACCTTCATATGTCCATGTCTATCAGTGGTACAAACACGTGGTCGACAGCATACCTACCTACCCACATACCTTCTTATTTTCATGTCTATCAGTGATAAAAGCATGAGGTCGATAGCATACCTTCATATGTCCATGTCTATCAGTGGTACAAACACGTGGTCGACAGCAAACCTACCTATTTGTATTGTCTATTAGTTGACAAAATATGAGTTCGACATCATACCTACCTACCCACATACCTACTTATTTTCATGTCTATCAGTGGTACAAACACGTGGTCGACAGCATACCTTTATATGTCCATGTCTATCAGTGGTACAAACATGAGGTCGACAGCATACCTTCCTATGTCCATGTCTATCAGTGGTACAAACACGTGGTCGACAGCATACCTACCTACCCACATACCTACTTATTTTCATGTCTATCAGTGATAAAAGCATGAGGTCGACAGCATACCTTTATGCATGTATCAGCTTATCTATCAGGGGTAATGTGTGATCAAGTGCAATCCCTTTACAGTTATACTGTTATACCTGAGCAAGTAATGATATCATTCCTACTTTCTAACTGTGATATTCGCATAAGGGTTACAAGCATTTATTAATTGAATAATTAATTTGAATAAAAATGTTTTAATCTTAAAATGTTTGTGCCTGTCTTGTCGTATTTTATATTTATGAAAAGGAAATCAAACAATGATTTCTTTAAAAGACTTTATATGCATTTACTTTTCAAGACCAGGTAGTATACATTACGTGAAGTTAATGACGCAAATGAGCAAAAACTTAAAAACAGAAACGACTTCATTGATTTCAGACTGTTTTAAACAATCAATATTTCTTCACTTACATATGTTTTATTTTGCATATTTTAGTCATTTAAAGTTTTACACTTTTGTTGTTGTAAAACATCCCCGACCTTTATTTTGAAATTATCAAAATATACATAAATAAACGTTTTTATTCAGGGGATATAACTCGCTGAAGTGTTTCTACAGATTTGGAGTTTTAACTGATATGCTTGTGTAGATAGGTGATGATTCCTGACGACGACATATTCAGCTGATGTTGGGTTTGTTTCCCTAAACACATTCTTGCAAATAAGATATTAGGATGCGATCACGCAAAATACATATCCTCATGCATTTAATGATAAACATTAAACTATAAATTATTGTATGTATATAAACAGTAATAATCCATGCTACAAGTGCAGTCTAAATAAGTATGAATGGTGTAACTTGTGTATACAAGAGAGTTACAAACGACATGCTGATCCTTCAAAGGCGATTTATCTTACAGAACCTACTGATAGTATATATCTTACAAGTAACTACGTTTTGGGGATTCAAGTTAATTTTCTATCTCACAATAAGGACATATAGAAAAGAAAACCGCAAAACACAAAAAAACACGTTGTCGGCATGGTTAAATATGTATCCTAATTTGACAAAAGTAAAAGGTTCATTTTAATTAAAGCGGTATATAATTATTTTCTAAATCATTAAGTGAAAGCACATATTTATCATCTTTGACATTGTGTCATCGATTGTACATTGTATTAGCCATCCAGTTTGGGTGAAGGTTTTCAGGAGCAATATTTTTTATGTGTAGGGACATAAAGTCAATAACAAATAATACAAAATTAAATAAAAATATTAATAATTAAATAAAATGTAAAATGAAAAATAAAACGCATTTGAACGCCTTCTTCCAATTGATATACGACAATAGTATTATCACCATTCTTTTGTTGATCTTTGAATAAATTTCTTACTGCATTATTGATATTTGTTTTATTTGTAATCAGTTTTCAGATGTTTTCCTCTCATAAAACTATGAACACATATATCCATATTCTACCAATAACACCATTACTTTGTTTTACCATGCATGAACGTGTTAATGCGTTGTAAATAACGGGGCAATGAAATCCCATGTGAAAGTATATCAATTAACTCAACGATTTAATATATCTACTCGAACCTATTTTAATAAGAGGCCTAGAGGGCCTGTATTGCTCACCTGGAAATGTTAGCAAAATTGAAGTTGAAATAGCCCGATGTTGCTGGTAGTGTACATGTATTACATGGTTATAGTCAGGGGTTGTATTTATATGCAATTGGACAAAATCCTGTCATTCCTACAGGAAAAAGAGGATTTTAAAGAATTTGCTATGTTTCCCCTATTGGGCCCCACCCCTCTGTCCCAAGGTGAGTCAGACCCACCGTTGATACAAAATTGAGCCCCCTCACCCAAGGATGCTATAGACCAAATATGGACAGAATCCTGTTATTCCTATAGAAGAAGAAGGATTTTAAAGCTATGTTTCTATTTTCCCTCTTTGGCCCCGCCTCTGCCCCCAGGGTGTTCAAACCCACCATTTATACAAAACTGACTTCCCTTCAAAATAGGTTGCTACTGTTCAAATTAGTCAAAATATCTTCATCCTAAGGGCAGAAGAAGGATATTAAAGCTATTCCTCTATATTCATGTTTGGGCCCCAAGGAGGGTGGGGTGGGGGTGGTTGGTGGNTGCTCGAGACTAAATTAGGATACAAGCCCTTTATCCTCACAGTAGAAGAAGAATTTTAAAGGTTTTACCTCTATTTCCCCAAATTCGTCCCGCCCCTCTACCACCAGGGGGGCCACACCCACCGTTTATACAAAATTGGTTCCCCTTTAACCAAGGATGCTCCACACCAAATATGGCCAAAATCCTTTCATTTCTACAGAAGAAAAAGAAGAAGAAGGACTTTAAAGAATAATTTGCTATGTTTCCCTTATCTGGCTCCACCCCTCAGGCCCCTGGGGTGCCAGACTCATGGTTTATACAAAATTGGTTCCTCTTCACCCAAGGATGCTTCAGACCAAATATGGAACAAATCCTTTCATTCCTACAGAAGAAGAAGGATTTTAAAGAATTTACTATATTTCCCCTATTGGGCCCCGCCCATCAGTCCCCAGGGGGGGCCAGACCCACCATTTATACAAAATTTGTTCCCCTTCTCCCAAGGATGCTTTTGGCTAAATTTGGTAAAAATCTACTTGGCCGTTCAGGACGACGCTGCGGTATGGCATAAGCTCGCCATGGTCTCGGACCAGGTGAGCTAACAATAGCCATGCCGTAATAAAGTCGTTCGAACCTAGGTTACATACAAACAGTTGTGTGAACGGAAGTAAACGTGTCTTCACCGGAATGATCTGAGTATTGATTTGAGTTCAGTTAAGAGGTAAGAACGTGTTTTTTTATTTTCGTTAACACTTATTACGAGTATATTTTGCGATCTTTCAATGTCTAGTTAATAACATAACATACATATTTACATCAATGAGTCAAATGAGTTGATAAGATTTCGGTCTATTTCGACCGTTCAGTCATCGTTGTAATATGTTTGAGTGTACCTATATACATAATAAGTGTATACCTATAAGAGCATATGATACAAAAGGAAACTTAACAAATTATTTAAGTTATAACTCCGGGTCAGCCAGATTGTAACCATATTAAGACAAAATGACAATACAGAAAGCTTTACGTACTTCGTTACTCTATATATATCAATCTGTAAAAAATACCAAGGTAATGACAACACAGAAAATGGTGAGTAAGCACTAGAAATAAAATATGAAGTCGAATTTCATGTACCCCCCCCAAAAAAAAAACCCACCAAAAGCTGAAGGTTATTGCCAACTTCGGGAACATATGTAATTATGTTATTGTCCTATATCAGTTCTTTATACTATGCAATCCTGTAATAAACACTGTAGCAATGTTGACACAAAATGAGATCAAAACTAAGCTAAGCTAACGGTACATCGACTAAAAATACACGATACCAAGATAAAATCGATATAAAAAGTGAGGAATATTAATTATTATTATAGAGTGATTCTTTAAAGGCCAACAAGGTGATTAAGTTGGGTGAGCAAAATAAGGAAACTAATTAATAATTATAAATAATAAAAAGATTATATTTAAAGAGATGATTCGTTATTATAATTTCATTTGTTCTGTCGTGACTAAACTGTAAATTTATAATGACAAAAGCAATACGAAAAGAGACCAAGCCTTACCAATTAAATTATTGCTGGTCAATTAGACTGTAAAAATATTAATAAACTGGTTGTAATTATTCATACATAATATTACACATTAAACAAGTAGCTATTGCATCACTTATAAAATTACAATCTGTGATGTGATAACATAGGAATTCCAACGTCATCAATTTGATTTTGCCTCACGACATATATTATGCATTACAGATATCGTGCTTTACCGCGAGTATACGACAATTAGATTATATCACCTTTCTATTTTATTGTTTGGCGATCAATTCAGCGTTCCTGTCTTTTTAATATTTGCTGCAAAGTTATGCGAAACGATTACGTTTCTGTGAAAGTAACACACCTAGTCTCTAGTTCTACGTAATGTTGCTATTTAAGGGGAAGGGTATTTCCAGTGGTCTAAAATTAGCAACAGCAAACAGATATAAGGCGGGCAGATCTCAACGTTTGGAGCTGACTTTGTTTATCGAATTCAACGTGTTAAAACAGGTAATATGTAACTAGTGGGTTATATCTATATTTAACTATTTTGTCAGACTTATACATCATAAGAAATAACATGAATAAATACACGGTATAAAACGAACTGTGTACGGTTAACGAAGTGTAAACTGTCTTGATGATCTACTTCCTCCATGATCTGATCATAGTTCGATTAGCCACGTAGAAATATGGCCTGTACAGATAAGGGTTTTTCCAGGGGAAGGTAATAAGGTTATTTTATAACATAAAACATTACAGTATATGGTAGATATGATGGATCACTATAATATTTCATACAATTAACAGTATTTGTTAAAATTCTGTTATTGATTTAAAAAATAACTTGTTTACATTATGGTTAGTCGATGTTTAAGTGGATGTTTCATAACTTTATACTTAACCCGACATTGGAATACTACATGAATGTGTTATTGAACTACTTCCCTTCCTTATCGGCTAATTTCATATTTAACAGATCATAACATAACTTACTAAATTAAAGAAACAAATGGGAACAAAATGAAAATGTAGAACGAACAAATGAAACAAGATCAGATAGAAAAGGTTATTAGGTTTATGACTAAAACATCTATTGCAATTGCTTCTATCTGGGCGTACAGTTTCCGTGTTTCAATCATTTCAATGTAGTCCTCCGGTGATTTTATTACCTTCCTTGTGACATTGTGAATTTATACTTCAGTTATTTATGATGTTTTTTTTATTAGTCCTCAACGGTATTACCGGAGGGAATTTTCGGTTTCCTTTCCGTCCGTCTGTCCTCGTGGTACGATGTGCAAATCATATCTCATTACCCTGTTATTAATAGTGTCAACATTTAGTATGATCATTTTCACACTACGTATCTGAGTTATTGCCCTTGGTTCATTTTTAATTCAGATTTTCTTTCTGAAGGTGTGAGACTATGTGTTGCTCAAACTACTCTGCTTTGTTCATACAATTTGGTAACAAGATATACCTATTTCGTTATTGCATATCTAATACTTTAAACATACTTGGCAAATTAAAAATGCATTTGTGTACAAACCAAACTTAAAGTCCTTACATTTTAAATGAAAACGTCGCTTGAATAATATTTTTATTTCTCATTTGTTGTCAACAGAGAACTCTGGTGTTTTACACTCTAGCATCAACTTGAAATTGAATGTATTTTAACTTTCATTAAAACCCTACATTTCTTCAACGGCTGTATAGATGAAAATATCACAGGGGCAGGATGTCTTTTTAAATTTTTAATGAAGTTGGTATCACCACTGAAGGTCAAAGGTTTAAAGGGACATCAGTGAAGAGCAATATTTTTTTAATGAATGTATGTATTGTATGCACTTCCACTCATAGTCCGTTCCAAATACCCAGTTTGACCACTTGAACTGTTCGGGAAAGCCCTGCTAAAAATAGCGCCGATAACGTCACCTGACTAGGCAGACGGTTTCCAAAGGGGCCCCAGAGAGGGGCCGTTAGGCAACTGCAACTTCAAACCAAGTAATATGATTTCTAGGTCCGTATTCAAACTTATTGAACAGTAATTATTCATCATCAGAAGTTAATTGCATACTTGCCAATATTCAGAATTTAAATGTATTTAGCTTTAAACATATTTGTTGCCAATAAAATTGAACAAGGAATGGGGCACACGTTTTTACAATTTATCACAGCTTTCCCCCGTCATACATTTAAATTAAATGTCAACAATGATAAAAGGCATAAACATAAAGTAGATATATATAGATATATATTGAGTTTAGTACCGGAATGTGACCGGTACAGATGGTAAGGGGCTAAATATCTTCCCTCAATCATGGGACAAACCTTTCTGTAAAAAGGAATATTCACGAGACGTATATCCCTTTTCGCAATGACAAACTACTCGCGTATAAAAAAGAGAAACGTTTGTGAATATTTTTATTACATTGTACAACTCAATGTCTTTGGCCTTTGTTTTTCTTTTGGACCATGCATATACATTTATGTATACTCTCTTTCCCACTTTCACTGTCTCCATACGCTAACACTTAGTAAGTCATATTAGCCATCACACACAACAAACTGTATGGCAAAACCACTACGTATACATGTAGAATATGTGTCAATAAGGAACGTGTTGAGATACTCGATAATTATATTTTTTCAATACTTTACAAAGATTAAAGCATACTTGTAAATGGACCTTTTTATGTTGAGACAACTTTTCTTTAATCAGTTCCTTTGGTCCGAAACAGAAGCCGTAGTTATCGGCAGCACGCGCCATTTTTACAATGTAATCAAATACTTTTTCCCCTGTTTTCAATACGTATTCCGATTCTATCTGAAGTCGAAAATTTATTCTTTATAGAGAAAAGGTTGTTACATGATCATACATTCTAAGCCAACATCATATGAAAACATGAACTGTTGAAAAA